TTTTGTCATTTGAAATGTGTACATATCACACATGCGCGATATAGATAAACTAATTTAATTTTTTACAATCGTGAAACTGAATCAGCACTCAAAGTTCAGCAAAAACGTGTCCAGTACCACACTTGCCAAGACTTGGACATTTGTCAAACTGCGTGAATATATTACAGTATGCAAACTCGCTAGTTATTGAAAATATACGCAACGAATGTATCAATTGATGATAAAAGCGATACTTCCTTCCAGGGACTTTAAAAAGGTGAAAACATGTGACCAATTGGATTAAAATCACGAACAATCAGCCGCTGTTTACCATGGTTAAGGCTGGGTAAGTGCTTGTGATGGCCTAGACCCTCGGGTGCCAAGGAGCTTCTTCCGACTTCTTGGGCGTTGAGGGAGTCCCACAGGAAACCGACCAGTTTGATTTCAGTCATTTCCCTTATACAAGTTATAAATACGTGTAGCATCATTTTGCAGTCAATTTTCTTTGGTATTGACACAGTCCCTCTATCTCCAGTCTGGAAACGGCTATTGTATAAGGTGTGAATTACCCGCTGTGCCCGGACTGCACTGGGTATGGCTTTCCACAAAGCATAGTCTCTTGATAGCAGAGCATTCTATTGAAACAATCAAGTCATTGTTCCCTTGATATTCTAGTTTTTACAACAGAAAAATAACATTATAGCATTGTATACATAGCAGGGTTCTCTACGAGGGGTTTTAACAGGGCGTCGCGCGCTGTTATCTGAAATTGGCACCCTGTTTAAATTGTCAGTGCCCTGTTATATTTCCTGTGTATGCCCTGGTCCCAGACAAAGAATTGTTTACAAAACAGGTCATCACTCATTGTCATCGGATGATGATTCATCAAGCTCGCGATCAGGGTAACTGGTTCATTGTTTTAAGGTGCAACTGTGAAAAAGAAGCAGACATCAACAAACTTTCGATTTGAATGAATGATTATTCTTTTAAGTACTATTTTGTTTTTTTTTATACATAATTCTATTATTTTTGACAGTAACCGTTAACTGCAGATCGAAAATCTTCTATTTTGTAGATTTTATTTCGTTTGATCATCTTGCTTTTTGGTGCCGATCACGCACATTCATGCAAGTTTTTTTAACGAACGTTTGACAGACAACATAAATTTTATTTTGCTTCGTTTAAATAAATATGAATAAAAATTTTTGCTAAAAATTAAATAAAGCATGCATGTATCTATTTGGTAAAACAAATTAAACTAGTTACGTGATGAATCGTGGAGCTAAAATCAGCTGATTGTACGTGCTGACATTTACTTAATAATAGCTCTTTAAAATTCACATTCATTTTGTAATAATAAATATATATATATTATGCATATATAATTGTAGGTTTTTTCAACATCCATGCCAATAATGCGCGTTACAAATGTGCCACGCCCACTCCACCTTCACATTGGCACGCCCTGTTTTCAAACCGTGGAGAACCTTGCATAGCCCTTGTGGCTTTGTCTGCCAAGTTATTTTTTATGTCACAAAGTTAGCCATTAGATTGTGTATTTTTATCATTTTTAGATTGTATATTTAATGAGAAAACAAAACTAATCCTTGGGCAGTAAATTTGCTCTTGTTTTGAAAATTATAATTATGGTTTTCAATAAATTTACCTGGAGTTTCTATTTCTGGCAATATTTCTCTATAATGTTTATTGAATGCTTGTAGACCTTCGTTTGTTTGTGACAAGATCATCTGCATGAAAAAGCTCAGATTTTGGTTGAAAATGCAACTAGGCTAGGAAATTTGGCATCCAACTTTTACGTCTGGAACATAATTTGTTCAATATACTTTTTCAAAAGGACTTACCTTTGGCCAAAAAGTTGATGTGTAAATTCTGGGTGGAAGTTCTTGCTATCGTCATCGATATCACTTGGTGTTTTCACTGATAAAATAAATATAAAATTGTTATATAAATGACATTTTATTAAAAAAAATTATTTTGTGTCGGGAGACAGTTCCTAACATTGAATGTCACTGTTGTCTCTCCTGACTTTTTTATGTGTAATTGTAAGTGCCAGTGCTAATAAAAAGTGCAGTTTGCTACAGACACCAAT